TGAGGTGGGAGAAGAATCTCATGAAATTATAAGGGAGTGATAGTGAAGTTTCTAAGGAGCTGTTGGTTTCTCTCCAAATGAAAGTTCTAATAGTTGCACCACTAAGAAGAATACTTCTTAGTGGGTTGTTTACCAGTAATGCCATCTCTAGTGGTAAAAGTTCATGGAAGACTAAAGTAACCTTATATAGGCAGATGTGATTGAATTCCACTAAAACTTCAAATCCCTCAGGAATAAATGTACTGCTAGCTGTAGACAAAGATAACAATAGGTAGTTGAGAAAACATATTATAAATATCAGCTATGGCCTTGGTTACACAATGAGGTTACACAAATGAGGACATCATATATTGACATTTTTGTGTATATATTTTAGACTAATTTTTCTCCCTTTCCCCTCAATATTTTATATAGAAAAAGATGCTTGTTAATTTTATAATTTAATGAATAGGGCACAGATTTTCAAGATGAAATTTTAAAAAACTAGACGAGGATTAGCATCATCTCAAGGTCCTGGATCTTAGGTACAATAATGGATGAAATTTTGATTTAACCACTTTTATGAGGGGTTAAGAATGTAAGAAGTAGTTGCACTATGTTACAAATTATTGTTTTAAAAGAAGTTTAGGTTTGGGAATAAAAGTGTATGTTAATTTTGGGAAGCCAAAGAGGTAGATTGTGGTGGACATTTGTCTCTCTTTATAGTTGTTTAGCGTCCGATTGTATTCCTTATGTTTGGGAGAATCTCCACTCGCGGCTGCAGGGCCTGCCTCCCATTACAGAACCGTGGATCCCAGATATTTGTTGTCTTAGTCTTTTTTGTGCTCCTGTAACAGAATGCCTCAGATTGGATAACTTATAAACAATAGAAGTTTATTTGGCTCATAGTTCTGGCTCATAGTTCTGAAGTCCATGAGTAGACGGTGAGGGCCTTTGTGCTGCATGGCAGAAGGCAGAGGGACAACAGGGTGAGCTTGAGAGCAAGAGAAGAAGGGGGGCCAAACTCACCCTTTTATCAGGAAACTACTCCCTTGAAAATGGCATTAATCCATTCATGAGGATTAGCTCCCCTCAGGACCTAATCACCTCTTGAAGATCCCACCTCTCAACATTGTTGCAATGGGAATCAAGTTTCCAACACATGAACTTTGGGGGACACTTTCAAACCACAGCACTTGTTTTTTTAGCTTTGCCTGGAGCTAGGTACCATCTCTGTCTTGGAATGAAAAGTTATCGATGCAAAGAAACTGAGATTGCACACAATACATTCTGGAAATGGGTAGCAGCCACAGCAGCAGCTGTGCACAGCTGCCAGAGGCAGTACGGTGGCAGTTCTAGCTATGGGATCCAGTGTCCAGGGCCAGTAGTATAGGAAGTTATGGGCTGTGATGGCTGTGCTTAGTGGCAGCAGCCACGGTATCTTTGCTAGACAAGTTCTATGGTATCATTTTGAGCTTTGTTCTCAGCATTTCTGGAGATTCTAAAAATGACACACTATCTTTTCCATAATCAGTGTCTATTGTTTGCAAACAAGAATCTTGACTAAAAAAAAGCTTGAACATACTAATATGGTTTTTTTTGAATTTTTATTTTTATTTATTTATTTATTTTTGAGATAGTCTCACTCTATTGCCTGGGCCGGGGTGCCATGGCATCTGCCTAGCTCACTGCAACCTCAAACTCCTGGGCTTAACCCATCCTTCTGCCTTAGCCTCCCGAGTAGCTGGGACTACAGGCATGTGCCACCAGGCCCGGCTAATTTTTTTCTATATATCTTTAGTTGGCCAATTAATTTTTTTCTACTTTTAGTAGAGACAGGGTCTTGCTTTTGCTCAGGCTGGTTTGGAACTCCTGAGCTCAAATGATCCTCCCGTCTCGGCCTCCCAGAGTGCTAGGATTACAGGCATGAGCCACTGCGCCCAGCCTCATACTAATATGTTTTTATTATCAGTTTTATTAACCTTTATTTTTGACTTTTGTGCTTATTATTATTATTATTTTTTTTTTTTGGCTTTTTCTGTTGCTGGAGCTAAGTATAGTGGCGTCATCATAGTTCACTGCAACCTCAAACCCCTGGACTCAAGTGATCTTCCTGCTTTGGCCTCCCAAAGTGCTAGGATTACAAGCATGACCCACTGCTGCCAGCCCTTTTGTTCATTTTCATTTTACTCCTCAACTGATATCAAATTGTACATAAAAGAATTATCTTAGGGATATAAATAAAGAATGCATAAAAAAGATAGGACCAGGTATGCAAGTGTTTTTGTTACCTAGATGCTGTATAATGCTGAAGTCAGGGCTTTTAGTGTGCTCACCACAGGACAGTGTTCATTGCCTGTCTTTATTTGAATTATGATATATTTTTCATCATGGATTTTTGGGCATTAATTTTGATTTTTAAAAATATTCCATTAAAATATCTATCTTTTTTTTTTTTTTTTTGAGACAGAGTCTCGCTTTGTTGCCCAGGCTAGAGTGAGTGCCGTGGTGTCAGCCTAGCTCACAGCAACCTCAAACTCCTGGGCTCGAGTGATCCTTCTGCCTCAGCCTCCCGGGTAGCTGGGACTACAGGCATGCGCCACCATGCCCGGCTAATTTTTTATATATATATCAGTTGGCCAATTAATTTCTTTCTATTTATAGTAGAGACGGGGTCTCACTCTTGCTCAGGCTGGTTTCGAACTCCTGACCTTGAGCAATCCGCCCGCCTCGGCCTCCCAAGAGCTAGGATTACAGGCGTGAGCCACAGCGCCCGGCCAAAATATCTATCTTGATTATGAAGTTTTTGGCAATATTTAAAATTCTGTACCAAGGTGAGTGCCTCACCTGCCTCACTCTATTCCCAGCCCTGTCAGGACAGCCTCTCCAGATTCCTGAGCTTCTCCTTGTTTCCTTGGATATTGTTATTAAGACTTAAGGAAAAGGGTAGGGTTAAGGTGCTATGCATCCTGCAAGGGAAACTGGTGGAGTGAGCGTGTGTGAACCTGAAATCTTTCCCATTATAATTGGTATGTACTTTATGTCTCCTCCCCATCCCCAGACAGATGTATTTTTATATTTCTCTTTTTTACTAATATGAGCTAATTGCTATTCTTTTAGTACATACCAGTTTGGTGAGGTGGAATAAGGTAGTGTGAAAGACTAGTTAGGGCAGGAAACTAGGCTGATCATGAAAAAATGTGTTGAGTAAATATAAGAGTTCATTTCTTTTGAATGTGCCATATAGGTTAAGTGATTTGATTTTATTTGATCCTCACCTACCTATATGAGATAGATACTATGATAACCCCATTTCATAGATGAGGAAATTGAAACTGGGAGAAGTTTTAAAACTTGCGTAAGGTCACAAAGCTAGTAAGTGGCAGCCAATTGGGTGTTCAGTCCAGGACTGTCATACTCCACAGCTGTAATCATTATGTTAAACAGACTTCTAGTTGGGAGTTGGCTGGGTGGAGCTAATTACACTTGGAAGTAAGACATAAAGATAGGCAAATTATTACACAGCTGAATGTTAGGAGCTGAGAATCCTGCCCTCTCTTTTCATTAGATGGACTCAAAAAGCAAACTTCTTTCATCCAAGGGAACCTGAAATAAATGCTTTGACGTCAGCTCAAAATGCCTTCAAACTAAAAAAAAAAAAAAAAAGACATCATTGACTATTATTTTCCATGGGCACATGGTGTTCTTTATGGGTTGCTATTTGTCTTGGTAGAGATCAGCCTAGTTAAAAAGCCACAGCTTTTTGCTCCCACGCCCCATGCAGTGTAAATATTAATATTTTGCAGGCTGGTACCTGCCCATTTTAGCTTTTCCCGTTCAGTCACTTATATTTCTTATATTTCCTTAAAGATAATTTTAAAAGTAGACTTTTAAATTACAGTTTAGGATACTTATAGAAAATTGCATACATCTTAAATGTACAACTTGATACATTTTCACAAAATGAACTCACATATTCAATCCACACCCAGATCAGGAAATAGAACATTACCAGCCCCTCAGAAGCCCCTCTTCAGTGCCTTTTAATCACTATCCACCAACATAACTACTATTTTGATATGTATCATCATGGACTAGTTTTTCCTGCTTTTCAATTTTATAAATATTGAATCAGATGCTAGACACTCCTTTTCTCTTTTGCTCAACCTTTGTGAGAGTTCCAGGTTGTTGCATGTTGCAAATGTTCATTTATTATTGTTGCTGTATGAAATGCCATTGTATGAATATTCCTCACCTTATCCATTCTACTTTTTTTTTTTTTTTTGAAACAGTCATGTCCAGGCCAGAGTGCAGTGGCATGATCATAGCTAATTGCAACCTCCAACTCCTGGGCTCAAGCGATCCTTCTACCTCAGTCTCCTGACTAGCTGGGACTACAGGCGTGTGCCACCATGCCCAGCTAATTTTTTCTATTTTTAGTAGAGATGGAGTCTCGCTTTTGCTCAGGCTGGTCTCTAACTCCTGACCTCAGGTGATCCTCCTGCCTTGGCCTCCTAGAGTGCTAGGATTACAGGCGTAAGCCACTGAGCTCACCCTTACTTTTATAGTTGGACATTTGGGTCGTTTCCAACTTTGGCCTACCCTGCTATTATGTCCTTATGGACTTTTAATTTTTTTTCAGTCAACTCTCAGAATGTGCATGTTAGAGTATCATGCTGTAATCAAAGTGTGACAACAAAAATGCCATGTCACGCTCAGTCCTCTGGCTCTACCTTCCAATGTATTGCATAAAATCACTCAACTACTCTTAGGCGGTATGTGTGGATATGCATGTATGTATAGTTTTATCTTTCTTTACAACCTGGGATCACATTATATATGCAATTCCCTGTTCTGCTGATTTCATATAACTTTATATTGTGAGCATTTTCCCAAATTATGAAAATTCCTGAAAAATATAATTTTTAATGGAGATGTACCATTCTATTTTATGACTACTTTATAGTTTATTTAACTAATCCCCTAATACTGGAAATTTAGTCTATTGCCAATGCTTTTCAATACAAATAATGCTGTGGATAAGCTACCTTTGATATAAATCTTTGTCTCGTTTACACCTCTGCTTTGAATCGTACTGAAAATTCTCAGTAAGGTTAGTGTAGGATTGTGTGTAGTTTAGGGCAGGAGAGGCACTGTATATCTTTCTTGGGACATACCTGGCTGTATTCCATTAGTATCTTTATCTTGGAAATGGGTTTTCTGGATGTAGCTTGCCCAGCTGAGCCACTGCACCTTTGCCCGCAGTAAATGAACAGATCAGCTTTTCGGCCGGAGCCGCCATCTTCCAGTAATTCACTAAAATGATGAATACAAAGGGAAAGAGGAGAGGCACCCGATACATGTTCTCTAGGCCTTTTAGAAAACATACACTTGTTCCTTTGGCCACATACATGCGAATCTACAAGAAAGGCAATATTGTAGACATCAAGGGAATGGGTACTGTTCAAAAAGGCATGCCCCACAAATGTTACCATGGCAAAACTGGAAGAGTCTACAATATTACCCAGCATGCAGTTGGAATTGATGTAAACAAACAAGCTAAGGGCAAGATTCTTGCCAATAGTATTAATGTGCATATTGAGCATATTAAGCACTCTAAGAGCCGAGATAGCTTCCTGAAACGTGTGAAGGAAAATGACCAGAAAAAGAAGGAAGCCAAAGAAAGGTACCTGGCTTCAACTGAAGTGCTAGCCTGCTCCACCCAGAGAAGGCACACTTTGTGAGCAGCAATGGAAAGGAGCCCGAGCTGCTGGAATCTATTCCCTATGAATTCACAGGCATCTCACACTTTGTGAGAAGAAAGGGAAAGGACCTTGAGCTGCTGGAACCTATTCCCTATGAATTTGTGGCATAGTAGACAAAACTAATAAAAGCCACTGGAGTCATAAAAAAAAAAAAGAAAGAAAGAAAGAAATAAGAAAGAAATGGCTGGGTGTTGTGGCTCACACCTGTAATCCTAGCACTCTGGGAGGCCCAGGCAGGCGGATCGCTTGAGGTTAGGAGTTCGAAACCAGCTTGAGCAAGAGCGAGACCACGTCTCTATTAAAATAGAAAGAAATTAATTGACCAACTAAAAATATATATACAAAAAATTAGCTGGGCATGGTGGCACAAGCCTGAAGTCCCAGCTACTTGGAAGGCTGAGGCAGTAGGATGGCTTGAGCGCAGGAGATTGAGGTTGCTGTGAACTAGGCTGACGCCATGGCACTGACTTCAGCCTGGAAAAAAAAAAAAAAAAAGAAAGAAAGAAATGAACAGATCAGAGTGACCAACTCTTCTAATCTTTAGAACTCCAGAATTTACCTCTCAGTTTTGTGGTTTACATTGTGGAGCAGGGCAGTGAGGAGAATTGCATTCTCCTGCAGGGACAATCAGGCTGGAGCAGGGACCACGCATGAATGGTAGCTTGTAGGGAAAGGCAGGGGATGGAGGGGCTGCAGATCCATGATCTGCCCCCTGTTTGGGGTCTGTATTTCTGCTTGGCAGTGAAGCCCAGGTATCTCTTGGTAACTGCTAACTCCAGTACCCCTCCATCTGTGCTGCAGGGTCCATGCTCTCAAACTTTCTCAGGAATCTAACTCCACCAATTATGCATTCTTTCATTCAGAAAATTTTTACTGTGCACCTAGTGTGAGCCAGATACAGCTGTGGACACTGAGGATATATATAAGTGAAGAAAACAAAGTCACTGTCCTCATGGAGCACACAGTAGTGGGGGGTGGGCAGAAAATAAATGTATGAGCAAATATACATTTAACACATTAGGTCATAAATGTTAGAAAGAAAATAAGGTACAGCATAAGGGATAGAGAGTGCCACCTTTAACCCACAAACATGTCCATGTCTCGCCTGTTAAAATAAAATTCCATTTTATTTATTTATTTAGAGACAGAGTCTCACTCTGTTGCCTGGGCTAGAGTGCCATGGCATCAGCCTAGCTCACAGTAACCTCAAAATCCTGGGCTCAAGCGATCCTCTTGCCTCAGCCTCCAGGGTAGCTGGGACTACAGGCATGTGCCACCATGCCTGGCTAATTTTTTCTATATATTTTTAGTTGGCCAATTAACTTCTTTCTATTTTTAGTAGAGATGGGTCTCGCTCTTGCTCAGGCTGGTTTCAAACTCCTGACCTTGAGCAATCCTCCTGCCTCAGCCTCCCAGAGTGCTAGGATTACAGGCATGAGCCACCATGCCTGGCCTAAAATTCCATTTTATCTTGTAACCACAGGTCACTTGTTCTTCCTTAGTAGCAGGGCTCCTTAGAGAAACACCTGTACTTGGATTCTTCACTTCCTTACCTCCCAATCACTGAACAAGCTGTAGCCTCAAACCCAATGAGTCCAACTCTTAACTCTTTTCTTCCTGGGCCCTGCTTTTGCTCCAACCATCCCCACCCAGTAGGCAGAGTCATGTTTTAGTCCTTTCTCTTCCTCTACATTCAATCAATCACAAAGACCTTCTCGGTATACCTCCTAAATATCTTTATATATTTGCCTTTAATAGTTTGTTAAGGCTGCCATAACAAAATGCCATAAAACTGGTGGATTAAACCACAGAAATTTATATTGTCTCACAGTTCTGGAGGCTAGCAGTCAAGGTGTTGGCAGGATTGGTTCCCTCTGGGAGCTGGGAAGGAAGAATCTGCTCCAGGCCTGTCTTCTTGGATTGTAGATGGCCATCTTCATGTTCACATGGTGTTCTCTGGTCTTCTCCTTGTATCTTCACATTGTCTTCCTTCTGTATGTATCTCTGTGTCCAAAGTTCCCTTTTTACAAAGAACACCAGTCATATTGGCTTGGGACCCACAGTAATGACCTCTCTTTAATTTGATTACCTCTGTAAAGACCCTATCTCCAAATGAGGTCACATTCTGAGGTTCTGGGGTTAGGACTTCAACATGAATTTTGGAAATCAGGAAACACTCAACCCATAACACTGCCTCTGTTCAAACCTTCAGTTTTCTTACCTATGTCATTTCTTCAGGCCTCCTTAGGAATGTCCCTACTTCCAGCATTGTCTTGTTTCAACCTAGCCACCATCCTGCTGCCAGAAGATCACATAAATTCACTGTGGCTGTTTGGATAAACCAAGCCCCTTGCTATGCCTACCAGGTCCTTTGTGTTCTGGCCTCTACCATCCTTCCCCATCTTGTTTTCTACTGCTCACATAGCATTGCCGCAGCCATCATGACCCTGTGCCATGCCTGCCCTGCCTTTGAGCTTGGCTATGGGGGGTTCCTCCTGCCTGTGATGGCTTCTCTCCCTACTCTCCCTGGTTAAATAACTCATATGAGGTCTCCAGGCAAGCTCCAGCATTATCTCCTCTAAAAAAGCTTCCCTAAGCTTGGGTTTTGTGCCTGTCCTCCATGACCTGGGGCCTCTGCCATTCTCCTGTACTGTAATTTTATTTATTTAAAAGTTTAGCCTACTTACAAGATCCAGATCACCAGGACCTCTAGTTCAATGCCTTGTATACTATAGGCACTCAATACACGTTTGCTGAATAAATGAATGAATCTGCATTTAGAAAATTGCAATGTCAGAGTGAATAAACTAGTTCTAGTAATAAGGGAAACTTTGGAAGGGAGAGGCAAAATAAAGGGTGTGGCTATCAGACTCAGTATATATAATTGCTCTCACCCGGGGAGAAATACTGCATTTCAGCTGCTGTCACTGCTCTGAGGAAAGTTCTGCTACTCCACCAACTCTTTCTTTGCCTAGTAATATGGCCAACAAGAAAGTAATTGCAGTGTTTGGAGCAACAGGTAAAAAAATATTTGCTTTTTAAGTGTACGCTGACTTTGCTCACCCTCCTGTCTTCCTGTTTCTAGCTTCAGAGCCTGCAAATGTGGACTCAACAAAGCATCCTTCAGATGAAATTAAGAAAGATACCCCATTGCTTCAGTTTTTGATGTGGTAAAGGGGCAGGGTGATTTGACTTGATTTGTCAAAAAATGATCTTTAGGCTTATTTTGGGAATCCAAAAGTCATATAAGAAATTTTGAAATTTGTGTTTTCCTTTTGGAAAACTGGGGCAAGAACAACTGACATAGTCTCTCTTTTTGTCATGGGGCTAATTGTTGGTGTCAGTTTCATTTCAGCACAGGCTATCTTATCCCCTGGAGTTTTTTCTCCACACATATCATGATAAACAAAAGGAGCAAGTGTGAGAGGCCCGTGGGTTTGTAGGTGTACCCACTGCCTGACCAATCCTCTAGTGGTTCTGAAAGGGTGGCGTGTGGGGTTTAGCAGGATGCTTCTTCCACCTGCATGACTGCCTGAGCCTTTTAACCAGGCTCCCTGATTCTAGCCTCCCTCACAGTCTGTTCCTCAACAGCCAGAGCCAGCTTTGCAAAATGTGGATAAAATCAGGTTATTCTCCTTCAATCTATTCTCTTTTTACACTGTTAGATCATGTCAGCACTTTGCTCAAAACCCTCCAACACCTTCCAGCCCCATCTCACGCCAAGTAAAATGCAAAGTCCTGCTACGGGGCTGCAAGACCCTCGCCAGACTTCACTCCTACCTCCCTTCCCTCACTGCTCCAATCACTGCTGTTTCTCCAACATGCCCCACCCCAGAGTCTTTGCAATAGCTGCTCTCTCAGCCTGGATTACCCCTGTTACCCACATTGCTTTCTCCCTCACATCATTCAGGTCTCTACTCAGGTGTCACTTTCTCCATGAGAACTTTCCAGGCCTCTATATTTAACGTTGGAACTCCACTTCCACTCTGCCCTTGTCTGGCTCCCTTCCTGCTTGATTTCTTCTAGTACTGCCTGTCTCTTCATACTAGAATATAAGCTCTATGAGGACAGGGATTTTGCCTGGAGGAAGGCAAGGGCTAAAGCAGTGGCAGAGTGAAATAAATTCTCAAAAACCAATAGCCAAGTGTGATATCGACCTTAAAAGGAAAAAAAAAAAAGACAATGGGGTAGGGGGTTAACTGTGTTAAGTGTTAGGGTAATGACAGGATGTTGGTCTTTCCTGAAAGAGATAAGTTGTTGGAAGGTTTTGCTTGTTTTTGCTTTTAAGAAACAGGGTCTTTGTTTTTCAATTTTTAATTATTTTTGAGACAGTCTCACTCTGTTGTCCAGGCTAGAGTGTTGTGGCCTCAGCCTAGCTCACAGCAACCTCAAACTCCTGGGATCAAGGAATCCTCTTGCCTCAGCCTCCCGAGTAGCTGGGACTACAGGCATGAGCCACCATGCCCAGATTTTTCTATATATTTTTAATTGGCCAATTAATTTCTTTCTATTTTTAGTAGAGACAGGGTCTCACTCTTGCTCAGACTGGTTTCAAACTCCTGACCTTGAGCAATCCTCCCACCTTGGCCTCCCAGAGTGCTAGGATTATAGGCGTAAGCCACCGCACCCGGCCAAGACAGGATCTTAGTGTGTTACTCAGGCTGGGGTGCAAGGACTATTCGTGGGAGTAATCATAGCTCACTGCAGCCTCAAACTCCTGGGCTCAAGCAATCCTCCTGCCTCAGCCTCCGGAGTAGCTGGGACTACAAGTGCATGCCACCATGCTCAGCACTGAAGGGTTTGAGCAAAGGAAAGACATCAGTGTGGAGATGATCATTTTCTGTTTTATGAAGAGACTGCAGGGAGCAAGGGCTGAAGGAGGGAGACCTGTTAGGAGGCTGTTGTCATAAACCAGGCAAGA